ATATTTCTTAACGGCGTATTCTCTCTACGTAATGTTGCGACAGCTTCTACTTTCGATCGACGTCTCTTATCTTTTCAGAATTACTGTTAAGCATCGAATCTAAACAATTCAATCGCTCGAAATGTAATAATTACGGCCTTATCTACAGATTAGAATTGCAAGATTATAAAACAAGTGCAATTAAATATTTCACAACAAATAGAAATGAAGGAGTCGAGTGTTTGCCCTAGCATGATCTCTCGTTTATGTCACCTACGCCATGACCACTTCGATGAAAGAAGTTGACAAAGATTGATGTTTGCAATAGATAGTACATGTGTAAATTTAATTAGTCATATCTCTGAAATTATCGAGTCCTGTCGCCTAATATTTTGCATATAGCAATCGAGACACATGATCTATCATCCTGCAAAAATAAATTAGCTTAGAGGCGGACAAGTTCGGCCTCTCCCTTAAAAACGTCGGGCCGGATGACATTGCAACCCAACGATAAATTCTGTATTTCCAACGGGAACTTTTCGAGTCGCCCCGTAGAGATTTCCACGCTCGAAACTGCTGAGTCGAAACACGTTCGTAATATTTGATACGGCGCTGCTGATATTAGGCGTAATGTTCGGTTCTTGAAGAATTCGCTGTGAAAGCGTACTAATGGACGCGTTAATCCGCCTACTGTAAACTGCAAACAATCGTAAGAATATTTACGTATGTCGGCGCTTAATGGCAGCGCCAATTGTCTCTATTGTTTTCAAACAAGTTGATACGTTCGTCGTGTTGATGCTTTCGTAAAATGATTGGGTATCTCGGGGATAAGTGGCCAATCTTTGGCTGCTTATTCCACTCATCGCGATTATGAAAGAAGATTGCACGATCATGTGTCTGGGATTCGATGTTGATTTTGGCGATTGGGCCTAAAGAGATCGCAGAATATTTGTTGCTCTTTTCATAGCTTTACACAACATTTACACTGTCATTTTAAGTACCGATCGAAAATTATTCTAGCAATTCGCGTTCCGAGAAACTGATGCAAAGACAGTGTATTAGACTGCAATGAGAATATAACGATCTGTCATAATATAGTTGTAACGGCGTGCCCGTAACGTGTAATGGAACCCGCGAACGAAAGCGTGAGGCTGGAGAAAGTAGACACGTAGGTAGAAAAAGGTCTGGTAGACGCATTAGCGCATTACAATCACGGGAAGTGCACTCCGTCGGCGTGTATTATGTCTCACTTTGACAACTCGGAACTATGACATTCTCTGAACACTGTCGAGGCCCGTTCTTTGACTAAAAAACTCTCTCGAAAGACACCGCGCGACGCGAACGTCGTCGATATTCGCGTATCTCGCGTTTTATTACCGGCAGACCTTATCGCGCGTAATATCATTCCGATTCCCGTGTATTAATGAAGACGCACGAAAGCCATAACCCCGTAACGACAGGACATGAAATACCCCTTTCGCCCGATACGTACAATAAAATCGTGCTCGTATCAACGGCGTTACGTAAAGTCACGTGCTGACGGAACGAGTGTGATTTTAATGCTGTCGATAAGGGATCGCCGGATCAATAGTTGTCGACTCCGATAGGACTATTATGCAACGTTATTTAATGCCGCTCCAGCGTCGAAGCTTTTCGTTTCAATGTTATCGTGCAAAAAGCAAACGCGTAAAATAATTTCAAAGCGCTGCTCGGGAAGTCATTTGCGCGCACTAATGATCTGAAAACGTTGGTCGATCGTTATTTGTATCGAGCAAATTCCGCGGGTATTATCGCTGGACCGTAATAAATCGACGTTTCTTAGGAACGCTAGGGATGAATTATCGCTAGGCTTATTTCGTGCTTGCACTAGGCGCGAAAAAACTACGGGAGAGTTATAATATTGCACTTACGTGTGCACTCGTGTTGGATTACCATAAGTACGAGCTCGAAACGCGAGTGCATAACCCGGCACTCATTTACGTTTAACAGCCCTCCATCGTGTACGATCTTATTCGGAGTTTAAGGTTAATTGGCGCAGCCTTGTGCACTTATTTATATCCGCGCAATCACAAATCTCCGTTTCGGACAGGAGTTATCGATCGTAAATTACTTAGTACACTGTACGCGAGGCCAGTGTGTACTTACGGTTGCTCGTTTCGCAAACACGAAACGATTATGGAGCCCTTATTCGACAGCGGTAAAACGAAACGCATTCTTGCGCGAGCATCGTCGAGAGGGACGAGCAACAGCCTAAAGAAACACTGTCCAAATCTCTTAATTTTCCGTGCTGGAAACTCGTGAGGCTTCTTTTGCCTCGGAAACAAGGTTGCGTAACCGGTATCGACTCGATAATTAAAGGTGTCGACTACCAGGGGGCTTTTACCTTGATTACTCGCGAAACCGAAGCCCACTTACGGAGATCTTAACACTTTGGTACCGAGACGGAGTCTTGTAGACTTTAATGATACTATTTTAATCGAGAAAAAATCTTTTTTCATTCGATTATGTAAAAACTCTTGAGAAAAAGAAGTTGCAAACGCGTGCATTTCAGCGGAAAATCAGCGAATAAATAATTCTACAATTTTAATATCCATTAGAAGCTGAATTTGTTTTCCGTGTCGAGCAATATTCATTTACTCGTGGGTCGTGATCTGCATTAAACACGTCGACGAGTGCATTTGGGAGGGGTGGGGAGGGGGTGAATAATTATGCAAAGGATCGTTGCGGCGTAACTCAATTTGTAGCGAAATAAATCGTGATGCGTATGACGAATCACGTGTGGAACCGCGTGAGATCGTCACCGCGATGCGTCACGAGGCGTGAACCGACGTTCACGTACCCATCGTCGGTGTGTTTATTATCGCGAACGGAAATAAAAATAATGCAACTCCGTGGTCGCCTATGACATCAGCCGGCCAATCAATCCGTTTTGCATGATGATGCATGAAGTGCATCGGATGAATGCCATGTGAGAATATCGCTGGTATCATCTGGGTGTGGGCGCCACAAACTTGGCCAGCAGAAATTCCCCCCGAGCAATTACGCGCCTGGTTTTTCGACACGCTTCGCATTCGACAAATTACGGACGAATTATTTTCGAATTATAGCCACGAATCTTACTGGCTAGAGCTCGGAAGAAGCGACGTCGTGTCGGGGGTGTTTCACGCGCGAATTAATTTGCCAAAGGAAACTTTCGGAAACGGTTCTCGTAAAATAATCCATCCCTATTTATAGGTTGTACAAGTTTATTGCTATAATTTCGTACAGCCAAACTGCGTGGTTCGCGACCATCGAACGGAATGCTGGTCATCGTCAGCACTGCAACACCTACTTCGAAACGACGTCGAGCATAAGTCAGCTATAGTTGGGCATCGTAATAAAATAGAATTTCATCGCGTGGCTCTATGAGCATTCCGATCGTAGAGGCGAGCAATTCAGTCGGATTGGCTTTATTATAACACCTCTTTTCGCTCGGTGCTACTGTCATTGTCCAGCGCGGGCTGTCGTATAAATTTGACGAAACGATCGCTCGACGAAAGTTTATTGTCGGTCGTGCAAAGGGTTCAACGAGGACCAATCAATTCGATACAAACTGGAATTAAACGATGATTACCGGATGCACCTACGTGCTCGCCCGTCGTGCACAAACACTTGCATCGCGTAAGTGCACTTGCATCTGTCCGCGACACCGCGTTACGCTTCGTAACCAACGTTTTCATGCGTGATGTATTGTTATCGATGCAAACGCGACGATTCGTTCGCGATACTACGCCAGAACCAATCTTTAATAGAACTCGAAATCAATATTTAAATCTATAAGAAACTGAAATATATTAATGAAATCTTTTGAGATGTCAAGGTCAAGATCATCAGAGGTGCTTCTTCTGTAACTGTAGAAATATAAAATAGATGTCTCGAACTTTTCTATTTCTCGTTGACTGTATTGACTTGTTCATATTTCAATAGCCTACATATCTGATTAGATTAATAGAGAGACCGTACGGCGTAGAAATGATAACTTTCATTAAGAATTCCTCGAATCACGTAATCCGAGGTCTGGCTATCGGTGAGCATTCCGCGACAGGCATAGGTTCCGTTAGGATTGCCTAGATTCTAGTTGTCCACCGGTCTATTCTCGCAGTCCGAGGAAACGCATCATCGATGCTACGATCTTTTGGGTGGCACGCGACGTTTCTGGACCGTGTTCGACGTTGGTTACCGTTTAATATCTATATTTAGATCTGGTCTAACTCTCGTCGATAAACTGGGTCGAATTAGAGCGCTTCCGTAATGCTTATTGCAGTCCCAAACGGAATTCCACGCCATTATTTCTCGATACGCGGCAACAAGTAGCGCGATCGACAACTCGCAGCGCTAAACGATTCGTCCCAAAGTCTAATTTCCATTTAAAATTACACAAAGTACAGCAGTTCCATTACCTGCGATAGAATCGAATTGGCGCGAGGAGATGCGATCAGGTCAAGAATTGCTTGACCCATCGAACGCCCGAGGCGGAAATTTTGATTCGAAGGACCCGAGATAATTGGCGCCCGTAATTCGAAATTAATTCGTCGATAACCGTTCGATCGCCGATCCAATTTCGGCGTCCGAGCCCGTGCAACTTTATTCACCTCGTTAACAATCGTTTCCACGGAATTCACACCTAAATTCGAATGCGCTGCCGATCTTCGCGTCGAAGGATCGAATAAATTTGCATTAACGAGGCTCGTGAGTGGGCGGCGAAGATACCAGATTTAGATGGCTCAATGACAAATTGAAATTAGCTGTTTAGGGACAGTTTGATTCATGGCTGCTTTTGGCTTCTTTTAATAAAAAAAAAGAATTGAAAAGAAACACGTGTTCTCTGCTTAACGAGCTTGTTTCGCGTTCGTCGAATAAAGTTATACATTTCGTAGTATCCGACAGGTGACAGCCACCTTGAGTTACGCGGGCGCGCGTAATCGGATTTCGAAGATAAATGGAGTTTGAATGGAAGTTAATTCGCCCCCTTTTGTTTTCAGATGTGGCCGTTAACATTTTGGACGTATTTTCTACTGATAGCGTTATCGCTAGCGCCAGTGCAAAGGGTCGTTGGATGCTCTTGCGCGAGAACCCATCCCCAGGAGCTATTCTGCAATTCAGATTACGGTAAGCGTGATATCGAAATATTATCTTAATTATATATTCCGAGAACACGGCGGGCGAATTTCGCTCCGGCGTTTCTTCTTATCGAAGTTTCTCCGTATCGTGACACGAGTTGTTTTTTCCATTTTTACAGTCGCCGTGGTGAGAGTGAGGAGGGTGAAATACGTGTCCCAGTTCGAAACCGCCTACAACGTGAAAGTCAATAAAGTCTTCAAGGTTCGTACGCGTATGGAAATACCTTGTTTCAGCGACCTGTGTGTCATTTTACGGTCACTTTATGGCACCGTGGGTATCTTAATGCGAGAACGTTTTCATTAGGAGCGGAACAAGTTCAATCCGGCCGAGTTCTCCAAGCAAGAGATTTTATGGACCGCGTCGATGGACAGCATGTGTGGCATAACCTTGAACGTTGGCGACACTTACTTAGTGAGTGCGAAAATAATCGACGGAAAAATGAATCTATCGATTTGCAATATACCGAGGAGGTGGCGCGAGGTGACCAGCAGACAGCGAAAAGGATTCAGGGGTCTCTATCACCGTGGATGTGCGTGCTATGTAAGTGTAAAATATTTCTTTTCAACGTTTCCCTTCCCTGGGAATCTTTTTATATACACACCCTCGGTTCTTCCTTTTTCCTGGGAAACACGACCTATTCGTTTCTGGGCCATTACGCGTCAGATCGATAACTTTCTGCGCTCTAGATCGAGGATTTTGATTAACACGTCGGTTGCCATGGTGGTCGCTAACGATCGACACTAATAACTCACGACATTTTTTAATATTGCATAAGATGAACCAACTATTTCAACAATCATGATACGTGTGAATATTCAATATTCAACTACTTCTTTAATTTGTTGTATACATATTCTGTACTTGTCCCAAATTCTTCATAAATTTTTAGCGATTGCCTCTGGCACACCCTGTGCAGACATTACGTAACTGGTTACGTGACATATTAATTCCAGATTAACTCGTTACAAAACCAGTACGCGGCAATACCAATTTAGAAGTATGTCAATTAATCATAAATTCGATCTGTCGGAAATACAGGATTTTTACGTTTCTTGCATAGTTCAATAACGCATTAAAGATGCAGCTAAATTTTATACCAATCGAATAGAACGTCTAATATTAAAATTTAACGGGAAGCAGACTTTTTTAATCAGACTTCAGGGGAGAACAAACTTCGTATGGAAAATTCACATACGAAAATAAATTGTTGTAAGGTAGAGTTGTTCCAACGAGGAAAATTCCAGCGAATCTACATCATGCTCTTTTGTTTTGCTTCAGATCGATTATATATTTTGGTGGCACAAGGGTGCCGTTCTGGAGAATTCAGGAAGGAAACGATGTTTATGGGAGAGCGAGCCAGGTCCTGAAGAGTGCCAAGAAAAATATGGCGTGTGCTTGGCTGGGCCAGGTGGATGCTCTTGGACTCCATCTGTACCTTACAAGAACTGCATCAAGGAATACCAACGAAGGCGTGAATATCAAAGGTTGCGAGAGCCCTAAAAGTCTTTTCTTTTACGTACTTGTTGTCCCTACAGTTGGAAGAATCGATTACATTCACGGGAAAATCGCCGTTGCTTGTGCCCAGCAGGGATGGGTAAAATGTATTCAAAAAGATAGTTTATTAATTCCTATTCGATAAAATTATTTGTATCTCTTCTTACATCGTTATGAGAGTACTATGAATGGACGGAAATGAGATCAAACACGTCAATATTCAGATTATATTTACTTCTACGTTATTCGTTGTACGTTGTACGTGAATTCGATGTACGTTTATTTATTCGAGAGAATGGCATTAATTTATTGACAAAATAACGTCTTCATCCCTGCATCGTGCCGCGTTCTATTTATTGTCGCGCGTTCTACCAAAAGTATTAATTCGACGGTTGTGTCAGCAAGTACAAAAGTAATTCGTGAATAAATACGGGGAATGAAATGGTTAGAATCGTGCACGGCTAGTCGTTAAGCTGCTATTTTTCGTTTGATACAATTTGCTGACCCCTTAAAACTGCTTGCATTTCCACAATGAATTGTTTCCTTCGCGTAACCGAGATCCGTAGTTATTGTGTTATTGAATTTTTCTCGCTTAATTAGACATCGTCACGACTTATTCCTTCGATAGAACCAGCCTGCTTTTAATATCTGAATAAGCAAATGCACGGTATAGATTTACTCGATATATAATTCATTTACGTTGAGAATTATTCATGGAAGAGTCTCATCTCTGAATATATATTCAGCGATGCTTTTGATCTTCCATCCAAGTCAACGCTACTAACCTCGTTCTGTTTAATTAAATAATTCGATCAGTTCGATGGTAATGTAAATGGAACGAGCTGTAGAGAATCTGAAATAGTAAGAGCAACGAGCATTTTCAACATCGATTGGCCATCCCTTTAGTTGTACATATAGGCTACTAATGTATATTATGCATTCTTAAATTATTCTCACTATTATCTCTATTGTACGTAGCTTTGTCTTATCTGCGTAAAAAGCTAACGAAGTGTATTTAATTTTTAGCGAAGTTTTATATAAATCTCTGAATATTGAAACAATACATTTTCCAAAAGAAAAAAAAAAACTATTCGATAGGGTTAAGGCGACGATGTAAAGTTCGCTTAAAGATTGCGTTGTCTCATTGTTCAGAGAATGTATGCGGATGCTGAGTGTCGTATTATAATATAACGTAATCGATTAAGTTCTCTATCCGTAATCGAGCGTGATCGTTGTTTCTCGTCGACGGTGACGAGGAACAGAACCCCTTAGATGAGGGTAGAAATTTAGTACAAACCATTAAACGCGCAATGCGACGGGAGTCAGTTGGCATTTCCTAGCACGAGAACGTTAACCCGAAACGATGTATTTTAATTTAGTTCTTCCATTTGTTAACTTTTGTAAGTATTATGCTTAAACGAGAAATGTAAAGTGCTTTCTTTTTTCTTTTTTTACTCACCATTTCGCGATGATTAGGATAGTAAGTTTGCTCGATCAGAGGGAAGTTATCCTTCCCCAAACGACGCTGAAGCCCCAACAGATGAGCGAACACCCATGGTTTATCCTAGAAGAACCGATGGATTCTGTGTCTCATTAAATTACAAACATTTATACACATTTCTCTTTTTCTTCCAGCGCGTTGAAATATCTTTTTTAACCGATACTCGGACTAATATTCACCTGGAAGTTGTATATTGCGGTGAGATTGTTAATACTCGGGACCCCTCCGTACATCAAACCGAGAAGAAGGTTCTTGTTGTCCTCCCCCGCGTCCTTTAAGTTTTGTCGTATCAGGACGAAATCAGGTTTGAAGGATCTGTCAACGGAATTTTGCACGATCGAGTATGCGTTGAATGGTAAGATCTGAGGGATCGTGGAACTGGGAACGCCATCTTACCGGATGACTTTGGTCCCGTTACGATAAACTGCCATGGACACGACGGTACCAGCCTCGCTCGCCGTCAACGACAATTCCCGAAATTCCGCTTGCTCTACTCGGATTTCGTAATCGCCGTGGAGCCTGCGACCCCGGAAGTACTTGCTCCAGTCGGTGTTCTGATCGTCGATCACCAGAAGAGTGAAGCAACGATCTTTGTTGTAAGATGGGCCTCTCGTCGCACCGGACACTGCCGCTCCCAAAATTGATGCACCCTAATTGTCACAATTAAACTTTGTGTAAGTACAGACATTTGTCTAACAATTGTGTTCCAGGGAAGAAAAGAACTTGAGAATTGAAAATTTTCAATTTTGTGTCCATAATTTGAACGGTAATTTAATAACAATTTTACTTTTCTACTATTAACAGTTCCCTTTAGAAAGACATTCGAAATAATTAAAAATTATAACAAAGACATGGTTTCGTTCAGAGTAGGTAGGAAGAATGTTAAATTGCACCCTGTTTCAGAATAGTAGTAATTACTTACTACGGTAGTAATTACTGGAACAATTGCCAATAACGCGAACGAGGACAAGCGTTAGTCGCAAGTCGGGCAGAAGTTTTACCCGACGTTTCAATTATTGGTATACAAACGTATTCCCGCGTTAACAATCTCGCATACACGCGATCCTACTCGCGTGTCCCTATCGCTGTCGTGAAATAGTTACCTAATAAAGATCACCGTTCGTACGAGCACTCGATACAATTATTCCGTCCCACTTTCTCCGCGACGACTCTGAGTATTCAATATCGACGAGGCATATATTCCAATTCGAAATTCAAATATTGAAAATTTGGGAAATTGTAATTATTAGAATCCACAGTTCGAAGGTGGAAAATCTCGTAGAAATAAGAATTTACCGGGTCTGATCGCATAAGGTATAATCTTCTTCCTATGGATCAAGAAACTCGGTCTGTATAAGGAGATTATACCATACGTGGTCAGACTCGTCGGCCAACGTCTTTCTCTGTACAATCCGTTCCATTGGGATTAAATGCGTCGACCAATTACAGGGCGATTCTCTCGTCGGTGGGTTCAAAAGCCTCGAAGTCTTACTGTTTCCATTGTGGAAACGGCCACTACATTCGAGTCCACTGGCCAGAGAAACGGCCTATTGAACGATGGTTTGTAACGTACCTGGTCGCGGGCAGCCCCGGTCAAACTCTGGACCCTCTGAAGCAAACTCTCCCGGGTCTTGGCTGGCGATGAGGGGGCACTGGTAGTCCTGGATCCGGGCCTCAGGTTGAGGCTGAGATTGCCGCCGACGGGCTGTGGAGGGCCCGGTGGCGGTGCTCCGGGCACTGGGGGCTGACTGACCGGTGGGGCCGGCGTCGGTTGAGACTGCAACGGACGCTCGGGCGTCGCTTGATACGATTGGGACGAATCCCTGGCCATGGAGGCCAGCCCGGAGTCTGTGCTTGGTTCATCGTCGAGCTCCGAGCTCAAATCCCCTGACGAGAACCTGGAAGACAAGCTATGGTGGCGGTCGTGACAGTGGTAATCGGTCGGACAGGCCCTTGGTCTCACGTTTAAACGTTCTGCTTTTGTCTCGTGCTTCTTAATGCACATCGAACAGCCAGTGCTCGGGATGGATGGCGTGGATGACGTCCGCGATGATGGATGATTGCTGATTGCTGGTTTGCATGCGTGACGGGTGACGCGTTACATTCTGATGCGCTGAGCTCGCTTCGATGACGCTTGGCGATGCCGCGTGCGAAATGCTCTCGTGCTTTGCAAGCCAGAAACGACGATTGTCCCTCGCGAGATAATTAGGCGACGTTTAGCGGAGCGGTAATTAGGTGACACGCGACGACGAAATTGGTACGCGTTCGGTAAGCTCGCGACTGCGATCAGATAATGGACTGGACGGTGTAAACTGACCAGACTGCGATTAATCAGATTCCGTTCGTGTCTTTTTTACCCGTGTTCCCCTCCCCACGGATCACGCTATTATCGAGAATATCGAGCTTCGCAGCTAACATCGATACAGAAAGCGGTATCCTAAACGATTACATGCATACACCTTTGATTTATGAAAACGTGCCAGGCTCGCATGGACACTTTATTCCCTTCCCGCGATCGATCGAGCAACGATATTTTAATTACACGTAACAAGCCATGGGCCGGCAATTAAAATCATCACCCTGTTATTCCCCGCTCGTGAGACTCGAATTATATAGATTAATTATAGTTTAACCGGACGAATTGGACAGCCAGCACTCAGTTAATTGAACGTCCAATTTATCGATCAGTGTATTATATTTTATCACAATATGGACATTAAATTAACTTAGCGTCCTGATTCATTATACTGTATTTGCAGATTTTACGAGATAGGGGATAATAACAATGTATTCCTTTCAATAACTTTCCTCTCTCGAGAATAATTCATACTGGAAGAAGACAGAGAAATAGAATAAATTCTTGTCGCAGGAATATCCTGAAACCTACCGACTGTACAGAAATTCATGAAATACCTAAAGGACACAATGATTAAACGTCACTTCCGAATTCCGTGTATTCCTCAGACTTACTAGAGGGAAGTTCCAGGAATTCCGTCGAACAACGTGATCTTGCGCATGCAGAAAGCAGAGCGGGTGAAATTTTAGTCGCGAATCCCGAGGGGTGAAATAAAAATCGAATGGATCTACGACTTCTGTTGGTCGTTCGCGAATAAAATTTGCACCCGACTCTGGTGAACGGTTAACGAGGTGTTTCAGGCTCTGGCTCACCTCCGTTTCAGGTAGTTAACATTAGAGGTGAAAGACTGCCGAAAGCTGGAGAATGAAATGTTGCCGGGTGATGGAGCTGTACCACAGTATTTGGCGCAACCGCCGCGGCCGGTAATCTTGCTGGTTAACACCGACTTCGTTCCTCTGACGAATACCGCTGAATTTCTCTTCTCAGCCTCGCGATGCTCGTAAACACGACGGTCTTCGTGTTTCCGGATCTGTCGAGTCGGTCGTCAAGGTGGTTGAGCCTTTGCTCTCACGACGATTCGATGTTCTTCTTGTCTCTTGTTCGAGTTGCGGGATAAACTTCAACGTAAGGTAATCCGAAAGGAAAGGATGAACTAAGAGAGGTGAGGAAGGAGAAACTAAACAATCCAAGTTGAAATCTGCAAGGGGAACCATCGAACGCTGTTAATACGCGCCAAATGTCGAGGCACTGATTCCTAAGCCTAATCCTACCGCGATATGACTTTGGGTGGCACACCGAGTTTGAATAACTGTGGGGGACTACGAGCGAATTTCCATACCAGCGGTGGCCAAATCTCGTCCCTATAGAACGATATTTTACATAGATTATGTAAAAATTGTCTCTCTGAGAAAGTAGGATTTCGTATGTAGATGGATGTCTATATTTTTCTTTCATTATCTGCTGGTAGACAATGTGTGGGTTTTTAAAGTGGTGTCGCGTTAATTGACTGCCTCTCGGAACCGTATCTGTCCACCTATCAAGGGAGCTCTACTTTTAGGAATTCTCGAGTGTTTTCTTTCCCCGGGTCGTTCGCCTCGAAACAAGTGGATAGATGGAGCTAGAAACAGTCGTGTGCGAGTAAAATACTGGCTTTACGGTACGAACGTGACTTTCAGCAGCGTTTAGGAATGTATTGCCCGCCATATTGGTACTGCTGTCTTTTATATTTATCGGCTGGAAACACTCTGAATCGTAATACGATTGAATACACTTTATAAAATTCTCCTCGATTTTTAAAAATATTCTTGCAAATTTGATTCATATATAATACAGTTTATCTTTCATACCGTACTCCAAAAATTGAATTTTAAAATTCGATAGATATATTTTTGCAACGTACGAAAATATTTTTAAAACAATGTGAGGGTACAGTTTCCGCTCGAATTGCGGTAGAAAACGCTTTGTACACCCACGGTTCGTGGTAAAAATGTCCACAGAGAACCTTTATGCGCGCGGAGATGAAGACCTCTCGCAGAAATTTAGCACAGCAAAAGTGGAGCTTGATATCCCGCTGATCGATACCGCGCAGCGTGACTTTACACGTTGAGGGATTTTTACACGACCCGTGTTTAGCTTCCCTGCGTTCAAGCAGCGATTTCGGACCGCCTCTGGTATCGAATCGCGATAAAGAACAACGATAACGAGTTATTGGCTTCCGCCAACACCCGGCGAGGGACTAATTGTTTCTGCGAATGGAGGAAAGGAGAAATAGTACGCCCGAGGGAGGCTCGCATTAAGGCCGATTCCCACAATGGATAACATCGGGTACCATGCTTGCAAATATTCCTTTGCGAACGCCGCAAATTATATTTTCCGCTACTCGTACTTCACACGTGTTGTATTCGAAGCAAGAATCAATTTTAATGCTTTTCATCGACAGTATCAATTTTCCTAATATCAACCTCGAGTCAAGTAGTCTTTCGTTCATTGTGTAAATCAGCCTCAGTGCAATCCTTCGTCGGTTATACTACTCGTAACATCAAAGTAGAGTCGAAGAGTAGTCGTCGCTACTTTGACGCGTCCACTTCGGTGAAAACCGACCTTCAAGGTTGGTCGAAACGCGATACGCGAGTGCATCGTGATCGTAAAACGATACCGCTTAGGAAAAAGTTGGGTCGCCGCTCGAAGCCGGAGAAACTTGCCCGGAAGTTCGCGAGCCAGCGCCGAGTAAAGCTCAGGATTTCCGCGAAGTTAGGCCATTAATCCCCGGCTTCTTCTACGAAGGCATTATCCAATCAGAAGTACGGCGAACTTTAAATTAACGCGGTGCTACACGCTGCATGCGACACCTTGGCAAACTGTCTGCATTCGATTAATTTCAGAGCCCCCCTCCCTCCCCCGCCCTCCCCCTCCCTCCCCCTCCCCCCGGACGCGATTGAATTTCAAATGAGTTTCGACGGATTTCAGCCTCCGTTAGAATTTCTTCGGATTCAGAGTTTCCCAACGACATCCCGATACAAGATTCCCATGGCTCGCCGGTGAACTTGACACGCGGAACTTTCTGACCGGTCGATCGACGGATCTCGATAGTTCTAATTTTATCCAAACGACGAAGTTGGAAACCATTGACTGCGTTACAGGAAGTTGAGGGAAACGCTCGGAATCGATAGATTTCGCGACACACCCTCCCGTTTCAGTTTCGTTTACACCTGAGTTTCCTTTTCTCGCGAATTTTTTCATCCATCAATTTTATAGATCGATTCGAAGGCTGTTTGCACGTATAAGGTTTGGTTTAAGGGGGTTCTTCGCGATTCGCGTTATCTGTAGAGAGTTCAACTTAGACTCTAGTAATAATCGATGACGGAAGAATCCCTAGGTGTTAGGAAAGGGCAGGCGCATTGACCGCCCAAAGCTGCGCGTACGGATACGTTCCGTTCATAACGGTAAAATCGCACACGAGTAAACGATACTTACCGTGAATAATTGTTTCGTTGTGTACAAGGTGAACGTTCCACCTTAACCTACTCGCGCGTATATATTTCCAACGCGTAAGACACTTCGTGCGTAACTTATCTACGCGATAAACCGTCCTCCTCGAAGAAAGGCAACCGTCATTGTTACGACGAGCATCGACGGTATAATTTATCGAAGTCAATGGCTCCGAAGCGAAAACGTACAGGTGCTTTCCCAACGATCGAGGACTGCAACTTGTGGAAAATGTACGAACCCGCGTGAACGCTCGCGTCGGCTCGTGCACGGCCCGAACTACTCGTCGCCATCGATCAACACGGTATCGTCGAGATTGCGTGCTCCCGCGTAAATTTAAATCGAGCACGAACAATGGGGGGTATCGCGATTTCTCGTCAGAAAACTAAATCTATGCCGGAAAGTCGAACATCACGAAGGCTTTCCGATTGATAACGTACGATCGACGCGCACAAATCGCGAAACGAGCTCTCCGGAGGACCGGGGGATGCCCCGGTGACCGTTCCCGGAAGGGTTACCCGAGGCGACGCTTGATCTCCGGACCAGAAGTCGAAGCACTAAGGGGTACCAAGAGAAGTACGCCGCTACCGGGAAACTACGCCGGCCACCGGGGACGATCTCGAAGCTCCGCGGACCTCGAACGCGAGAACCACGGCCGGAACCTCGGTTCCCCCGACCGTGAACTTCCCGTTCGGCCTTAATTTTCTATTTAAAATACACTTAGATCGCAAGATTTTAGAAACTGGCACTCACCTGTGTCGCGTGCGTGTACTACCCACTAGTTTGCCGGTGAAGCAGTGAGCCTCGGACGAGGATCGCGAGGGTGTTACCCGGAGGGCTCGACGATCGATAGGTCCGCGCTTGCGTCCTCCTTATCATCCCCTCCGGAGCTTTTCGCCTAGCTAACGACGCGGGGAGAAAAAAAAAGGGACGAGCCCCTGCGTTCCCCCGATATCCCTGGTTCCCCGGCCTCTGTTTGTACAGGGTGACGTCGCTCGATGAGCGTCAAACACGCTCCACCTGCTGGCCGACTGAAGATGAAACGTCAGGCTACCGGTCTATGGAACGCACGGTTGCGTTCGCGAATCAGCTAAACCTCGCCCCGGGTACGATCGGAGATCGGAAGTCTCGTCGTGGTTCGCACGGAACGCCTACGCTTCGCTCGTAACGCGGGATATACTATTCCTGTAATTTCAGCTGCTTCCTTTTTCCCGATAACGCATTAATTATAGACCGACGGGTGTTGATTTCGCGGTCCCGAGGCCACTCGACCGTCCCCCGTGTGCCGGCGAGGCGCATGAAAGAATTAATGCAGCGACCCAGATATTCGCGCGGAGCTCGCACTTACCCGGTGTGCGCTTTTGTGCACCGTGGAAATCGCGCTTGGAAATCTTTTGGGAGACAGAGTTCCCATTGTCCACCCCCTGGCGACGACGGGTCTCGCGAAACGAGCCGCGTTCCCCAATCAGAGCGATTTCTCCTCTTTGAGATAGACGCGAACCCTCGCAGAGAAAATATTCCAACGATTCTTGCATCAGTCGGAGCAGAAACGTTCCATTCTTGCAAACAATTTTTTATCGAATCGGTTCCTATTTCAGTAATTGGAAATTGTCTTCTCCTTCGAGTAGAATATTCCTCCGAGCAGGTCAGAAGGTTCCTCTTTTGGTTCTTCGAGGAACATCGTTAACTTCCAAAGGAAAGCTATTTTTCATACTGTGTGTGAGGGGGTGTTGGGCATAAGCTTCTTATGATTTGATCTGACGATGTAAGAGAGCCAGCGGTGTTAAAGGTCGTCATTACTCTTGCAGTTTTCCAAGTAAAATTTATGCTAATATTTATCATCAGATATCTTTGTTTCTGACTTTTAAAAAATAGCCAACACATTAGATGGTCGATCGAGCGCTTGCAAGAGAGCGTAGCCCTCTGCTGGCCAGTGCAGGAGGCCACAGATTAGTAGTTTAGATAGACCCAGAGTAATGATGTTCCATGAGTTTCCACAAGAACATTAATTTATATTTAAGCGTTACTATGTTCGAGTATTCCGCTATAACTTTGGCAGAATTTACTGTGTATGAAGTGTGTAGGGTTTATGGCATCCTTGGGAAGCCTTAGGGAATCCTAGTAGTGGTTGCTGAAAGGTTCCCCACACTCTGAGTTAGATTATGGACCTCTGGCGTGAAGCGAAAATCGTCATAAAGCGGGTCTCCAGTCTTTTTTTTACGTTCACTAGTCACTGGAAAGTCGCACGCAATTTAATGTTGTATGTCTGGTCCAAGAAGAGATCGAAAAAGATTATT